AGTCACTTTCCATCGGATTAGTGTGGACGAATACTTATCTGTTAAACTACCACTATGTGACATCACAAGGTGGAATAGAGCATTTTGAACTGAAGATGTAGACAGACTAATAATAAATGCTTTCAACTGAAACAAAACGCATCTCCAGGTATGTTTTTGAGGCGGTAACAACATTATAACATGACCTAAAGCCCACAGGAATCCATTTTCTGTAATATAGAATCTTTAACATCATTCAAAATATTTAATAGCGAAAAATTGTAAAACAAGCTTTTCCTTCACAAATCCAAAATCATTTCAGGATTAAACATGGATTAACCACCAACATCCTTTAAATGTCTCTAAACTGCTATCCCCAACCCTCACAAAAACACTAAATATTACAACTACTGCATTATTTGGGAAAATTCTGTGTCCATTCTCTAATATGACTCTATAATCCTCTCCACGCAGGACAGGGAAGCAGCGATTAGCATGCCGGTGATTGACTCTGGAACTATTATGAGTTAGCAGAAAGAGAGCAGTTACTGTACTGTACACGGGACACGTTTTCATTTCAGATCGGCTTCTCTCACATGGGGAATCTGGGTCACTCCGAGCTTTGATGTTCTCAGTCTCAGTGAGTTTTATACAGCAGTGAAATGACAGCACAGAGATGACTGGAACATGACTGAAGGGAGAGGCTGCGGTGTGGTGAATGGGTGGTACACTCACAGCAAGAGGGTCCCAGATTTGACTCATGGCAGGTGGGTACTCTAGTTTCCTCAATACAGCATGAAGAGTGGGTTAAATCGTCCCCCAAACCTTGCTCAAGACCTGGATATACGTTCACACACTGTTCTTGACAGGTTGCCCAAGTATCACTGAGGGATGGTCTGAATTTGATTATACTATTGTATAATGACAACAAAGTCTTTCTATTCTATTGTATTCTAAAATGCAGAGGAAATATTTCACAGAGTAAAATCTATATGAATGCATTTAATAGGGGCCCGGTCAAGCAGAAGTCAACATCAAGGCCAAAAATTCAAGTTAATGCATCTGATATAAAAATGTATTCAACAGATACATATGTACTCTAGTTTATGAAACTGTTGACCTTTTTTCTGTATCATTTTTGGTTCTAAAGTTCCATACGTTTTAAACAGACCATGTATGAAACATGGAACAAAAATTATTTCCCAAATTTCAAAGACCTGCAAATCATGTCAATAAATGGATGTATTTCATCATATCTTGTGTTATTCCATCTTTGAACTGTTGATGAAGGTACATGATTTAAAATTTAAAAAAGTATTTAAAATGATAAAAATTTGCTTGGAAGGACTGACATATTTTATAGAAATAGTTACTTTTCATTTTGAAGTAATATTAAAGTATTCAGAAGAAAAAAGATGACAAATTATGCAAAATCATGCACCTTCTACTTGTTTGCACAATTTTCCCTCCGTTACTTTTCCCTCCGTTACCATGATCTTTCTTAATAAAAAATCTCATTATTCAAAAAGTAAGAGGTTTTTCAACCTAATCTTGTACCATATGGTAGAAAACTATATGAAGCAAATATTCAAACCAGTTTGTTAAGGATATGGAAGTGAGAACCAAGAGTTATCACTGTTTGGATTTATTGCCCAAAAAGTGCTGCATATTTCATTCCCTCCGTTACCAACATGAGTTTTTACATTTTTGACAACAACTTGAAAGAATATCACAGGTTTAACTTTACCCTGTTGGAGTGTAACTCTTTCCTACATTCTGATACTTTACTTATTTCAATAGTCCCTCTAGTTTCTGAATAAGAGCTATTTGAATGTAAAAATTCTGATATTAAACCTTGCTTTCTTCATGGAGACCTAACCAAACCAAGGTACAGGTCAGATCTGTGGAGAGGCGTACCCGCTCACAGTCAGAATGGCTGTTTTTGAGCACTAAAAGTAAGTATACAGTACATTTGTTTCATGTCATACTGTAGAACATTCCAGGCAGAGCAATGACATCTCCATAGAAACAAGCAGGTGACGGACCCCCAACCAAAAAGTTACACAGTGCACCTTTAAGTATCTGCTGCTCCCCATTATCAACCCATACCAGAGCAGAGACAGAAAATTGTATTTAATTCCTTTCAACAAAAAAACAATAAGACAAAACTGCTCCAAATGTGTTGTGTAAGTGTTCTTTATCTTTTACGTAACTACAGAACAACTTTGTGTAAATCAATTATTATCAGAGTATCTGGGGCCAACTACGACCAGTTAAAAGTTAAAAGTCTTATTACACTGATTTATACGACCAGGATATCGGCTGAACCAATATTTCGAAGCCAATATCAGATCCAGAACATTTTTCAGTATTGATTGATTAATTTATTTCTGTCACAGGTATGTTCTGATATTATTTCACAGTCATATTTAACATACACAGACCGAAAAGGTGTAGGCTTTAAACTTGACACCAGTTCATCTTCATAAATACAACAAGAGGAAACAAACAAATCAGTAACAATACAACAAAGTACAACAGCACAAACTAAGTATTATAATTCACGTATCTGCGTAGAGTTACATATTTAAATTTCTTTATAAAATGGAAGAGAGTATTTCACAATTTTAGATGTTCTGTACAGTTGTTCCAGAGCTCCAACCCTTTAACAGATACACACAACTTCATAACATTTGTTCTGATTTTCTTTTTGATTCTTTCTGAGCCCATATCGACTATTTCAGAGTTTAAACATATTCTGTAATGATTTTGACAAGAGATTGTTGTTTAATTTGAACATGATTTTCAAAGTATAAAGGTCGACTAAATCTTAAAATTTCAGAGTTTGAAGGTTTATAAATAACACATTGGTTGAAGTTGATAATGAGATTGCTCTTATTGCCTTTTTTGCAAGGTAAAGACTGGATTTGTTTTAGTCTTACTAGTATCGGTGCACTCTTAAAATTCTACTTAATATTCGAAATTTTAACCATGCAATTTACAATAGGCTAAATTGGAATTAAATGGTCAAATAACTATATGTAATAATAACAATTCTGTCTGCAGACTTTTATTTTATTTAGTTTCTTGCCTAATATTGCATCAGCTGAAATCACAATAACAATAATTTAGCCAAAAGTTTTAATATATTTTAATTAAACTCCAAAGTGTGTTCTGATTTTGATTCTGAATTGATAATAACATTCAAAAAGTGTTCCAAATCAGCCAAATAAAAAGGTCAGGAGGTCATTATAAAAAGTAGAAAACTGTGTAATTTTTAAATAAATTTGTCTTTTTGTCAGTCAGGTGATTATGCAACTCCTGAAAGTTTGGGATCTTAATGACCGGCAAGCAAACGATGCACCTACAAGTGACTGGCCAATTCAGGACAATGAAAATCAGCCCCTGACAACTGACGACAACAATGATAGCAACAAAAAAGCATATGGGCCTGGTTTTGTCCCATGTACTAAAACTCTGCGCTGGCCTCTGAAAGTTAAAAGTGAAAGTGCTTATAAACTCTTTGACGTGAATAATTAGGATGCTTGGTGTACAAAAAGGTAAATGAGGATTAACTTTGGACCACTACAAACTGTTTCAAATGATCTAGGTCTGAATTTCATACTTTTAAAAGCAGTAAAAATCAGGCAAAATATAAATATCATACAGATTGCAATCGGCAACATAAAAGCATGCAGTGTAAACCTTTAAACAAGAATAATTATAATATATTTCGGTCCACTTCAGCAAATTTGTGATAAACTGAAAAAAATGTAACTATATTTTCAATCCAGAAGCATATCCTTTCACCAAATATTCCTCATTCGTACTTCCTGTCACGTATCACTGTCAGCCAATCACTTCAAATCATTGTCCCCCAAATATAACGCTTATTTATCAACAGCTTTGTTCTTATTTATTTTATTTTTAAAGGTGCAGCTTGTAACTTTGCAATTAAGGTATTTCAAAGTATATACGTTTAATGCAATTCTGTGGGATATTCTCTGCAAACATCTCCATGGAGGCAAGGAAGTGGAGCACCCTCTATTGATTACATAGTGCACCTTTAAAGATACAGTTGGCTGTACCATTGGCAGTTCAAATTTGTACCGTATTTTTCGGACTATAAGTCGCACTTTTTTCCTGGTTTGGGTGTTTCCTGTGACTTAGACTTACATATTTTACAGATCACAAGCTGCAAGTAGCAATATATGCAGCTGTAAAAGGTAATCGAGCAGCAGAAAGAAAGTTTGGAGTGAGCGAGAAATTTGTGACAACCGTGAGAGTGCACCATGCAACTTTCCTGGAAGTCACCGGATGGATCGACCAAGCCTGGACTTCAGTGAAAACCGAAACCATCCTGTCGGGATTCAGAAAGGCCGGAATAATTCTAACTGGAACTGATGCTGAGTTTGACAAGAGCTACACAGAAAAGGAAGCGGTGCTCTGTTTACCTCCGGAGTTGCTCAGAAGTGACACCGAGGATGAAGAATTGAATGGATTTAGTGATTTGGAGTGAGATGGAGAGTTTGGTAAACTTGTTCTGTTCTGTTGTTTATGCTCTAGTTATCTGAAGAACTGTTCATATGTGACGTTAACAGCCTGTTGTTCTATTGTTATTACTAGAACTTGACTTTCAACATGAAATGTCAGTTCCTGGTCTCTGATTTTATAAAATACACTTCCCACAAAAAGTGCGACTTATATGTTTTTTTCTTCTTCATTACGCATTTTTTGGCTGGTGTGACTTATACTCTGGAGCGAATTATAGTCCAAAAAATACTGTAGTCAGAATGTACAAGATCAAGATAAATATCATATGTTATTTCAGCTTATTTAAAATTTTTGAAAAATATTATAACTGATTCTCAAGTAGAATCTCCCATTTCTCAACCCTAACCATTTCTGTTTTTTTCCTTTCCTTGCATCATCTTTATCAAGCTCATCCATTTAAAAAAAGATCTCATTTGTACTCTGAAACACAAATGCAGAACTCCACATTTCTTGTGTTGGTCCTTACCTGGGGGCTGACACTGGGGCCGTAGCCCATGCCGGGGGAGGTCATGGAGTGGGGTCCCATGGGTGAGCTGATGACAGAGAAGGGCGATGCCAGGCCGTTCATGGGCGAGCTCAGGGTGCTGATGGGAGAGTGCAAGGATCCCGAGGGCCCCATGGAGGTCGGGCTGAGCAGGGACGGGTGCATCCCTCTGTGAGACGTGGGGGAGCCCAGGGGAGAAGAGGTGACCTGGCCTGAAGAATCTGTAAAGAGGAGGAGAGGGAAGGTTAAGTGGGATGTTTAAGGATGTCAGAGATACGAATTTTGTCTTTTTTATTTTATTTTTTTTATGTTTTTTATTCAAAGCACACATCCCAAATAATTAAAGAAGACATATTGTGCTTGTGTTTGCTATTTAGTTATAATCCATGACACTTTTGGATCATTATGTTATAGTTTGCACATTTTAAATCACAGTATTCATCTAAAACAACAATAAAAGAAGCAAATCAGCTGACTTCCGCTGTGGAAAACTGGCGCCCAATGGGAGCTGACGTCGCCATAAATGTCATCACAACAAAAAGACGTGGATAGCTGCACTAGCGAGCAGCGTTTTTTTTTTTCTTTCGTACCAAAATGACTGCACAACACGGCCCTATCCAGTGTGTATCACTACTGATTGAGAAAATACAATTGGAGAATGTTGGAGAAATTGAAGTACAGTGCACTGAAAGTGGTGGTGATCAGCAAAATGTCGTCCTTAAGTGGTTAAAGATGACTCAAATATGCACAAATGAGTCCAAATACAACTTCCAGAGGGTAAATAAGAAAGGAAAACAACTATTAAAGTACATTTTGCAGTATAGGTCTGCTTTGAGAATTTGTAGAAAGTTCTGAAGTAACAGTATTTGATTTTAAAAGAACTGTAAGTAAGATTTTGATAAACATTTCATAAACATAAACAGGTATGAGGTAGACTTGCTTAAATTAAATATTGATTTTACTAATAACAATTGCAATGTGTTATCAGAAAGCAGAAAGAGCCTCATAGGAGTCTGGGTTGCCAGTTTCAGCGCTGAAATCCAGTTGGTTTAGGCTATGTTTATATAATAACGGTCTGAACAGAAAATGCAAAGGTGGAGTCGCGTCTTCACTTTTTATTCTGTGTTTAGATGAGCATTTTCGGGAGGAAATCTGCATGCATACGGTGACGCAAAAGTGTGTGGAATTTGATTGGGTATGCATGCCAGGCAGCTAGGTGGTGATGTATGTGACTTAAACGCGTACGTGACGTGAGCAGATCTGATCAGTTTGGGTAGTGTAGATGGTGGAGCATATTCAACTTTTCTACTCTGGAGGGTGGTTTCAAATTTTTGCAGTTTTTAAGCCCCAAAAACTAGCTTCATTCATCAGCCGGTTTCACTTCGTAGAAACTGTCTGACCTCGCAGCATTAGGATTTGTTCGCTCGACGGTAGGTTGGTACTTTTCTAACCAATCACTGCTGTTTGGTCGTGACGTATGTAATGCGCCGCTCACGGGACTAACTGGTATATTAAGCTTTTCCCAAATCCCGCAGGAAGAAGGACAATAACGTCTTTCCCCTTGATAAAATTCACCAAACATTTCTATCGTGCTGCGTCCGAATGTCCACACTGTTCCGCACTTTTTTGGAGTCACGCCATTTTCAGGGGTGTGCGAATGACCAGTTGGTGAAAAAGTAGTGCACTCAAAATTTCCCACAACTGGTGACTTATTCATTATCTGACCTCACAGCATTGGGATTCGTTTGCTCGATGGTAACTTGGTACTTTTTTTATTTAACCAATCGCTGCTATTTGGTCGTGATGTATGTAAAGCGCCGCTAACATGGGTAACTGGTATATTAAGCTTTTCCCATATCCCGTAGGAAGAAGGGCAATAACGTTTTTCTAACGTCTTGATAAAATTCACCAAACATTCTCTTTGTTCCGGCTTTAAATCCTCGATCTCGGGAATCGTTGCCAACACAGAATGTCTGGCTCTTCGCTGATTGGCTGGTGCCTGAACTCACACTTCCGGGGTTTTTGCGAACCGTCTAGTGTATTCTGATTCCTGATCTAGTCGCTGGACAGAAATGAAACTGAGCAGAGGCACTAGGTGGCGCCAGCTTGGCTACCCAAAAACGCCGTCACAGTCTAAACGAAACGCACTTTTGATAAAATATTTTTTCTTTTTTTTTTTTTTACCTGCAAGCGTTCTCATGTACACAGGCCCTTAAACCTAAAAGAACTCTCTGATCTGAATGGTCACTACCTAAACTCCAGCCTCTGCAGCTCAGGGAGAGAATTCTGGAGGTTCTGAGCTTTCACATGAGCCTGTCCATATACTGAGAATGGTTACAGTTAAGGCACTTAACTTAACTCAATACCGAAACGATAAATAACATGCTGATGACCCCCCAGAATATTCCTATAACTCTATAACACTTTGATTATATTAAATATTTTCCAACAAAACACTTTTTGGTCCCAGGGCTCCTGCTGACAGCCCTGATCTATGCTACTGCTACACTGAAATCGAGTCAAACATTTCAACACTTAAATTGACTTTGACATGGTGATATCCCGATGACAGCCCCTATAAAGTAAAGAAAAGTCGATATGTAGCACGCCCCCTTCAGGTCACGCTGCAAGTTTGACATTTTTCCACTTTCTTTGACATTACAACCTTCCCATGATCTCAGCACAGTTCCACGAGTTATGTGAGAACACTTCTACGGTGAGCAATTAAAACAACTGCACTGGAATGACACGTTATCCAAATACGAGCTTTAAGTGAAAATAAACCAACGTGTAACTTGAATATATCATATTTTAAATAAACACAGCAGGAATTTTTGGACAGGAGAAAAAAAAACTGACACCAGAAGTAAGTGGTAGCTACAGTTAAACATACGAAATATAGAACTGCTGGAAAATAGTGTAGAAGTAAAGTATTACAAAAAAATCTATAGCACCTATGGCCTCACCATCGTCGCTCGTTTTTACTGATGGAGAAGTGTCTTGCCCAATAGCACAATGGTTTCATGCTATTACAGTAACAACATTCCAATACTGTCCATATTTTGAAAGATAAAAATAAGAATCAATTGGAAACAATATTTAACTTGGATTAAAACAAAATACCTGAATGACACTGCCCGACCAAGTCAGATCTGCGGAGACATGTTTTTCAAGGTAAAGGTAAGTTGGGGGAAAGCCCGCAGACTGAGGCAGAATCAGTTACGTGTAAAATATTTAAGATATTTGGATGTTTTGATGAATAAAAATTGCCAGCCAACGTTTCAAGAGAAAATTCCCTTTAGGTAAAACTCGGATACAAAATCTTTACTGCATTTTATATTATGCTACAGCAGGACTAGACCAGGACTAAACCAGGACTAGACCAGGACTAAACCAGGACTAGATCAGGACTAAACCAGGTACTAAACCAGGACTCAACCAGGTACTAAACCAGGACTAGACCAAAACTAGACCAGGACCAAGCCAATACTAAACTGGGACAAATCCATGGCTAAACTAAGAGTAGACCAGGACTAGAATAGGACTAGACCAAGACTAATGCAGGATTACACCAGGGCTACACCAGGACTAGATCAGGACTAAACCAGATCTAGACCAAGACTAGACCAGGAGTAAACTGGGACTAAACTGGGACTAAACTAAGAGTAGACAAGGACTAGACTAAGACTAAAGCAAGACTACACCAGGACTCGATCAGGACTAAACTAGGACTAGTCCAGAACTAAACCAGGACTAAACCAGTGACTAAACCAGGTACTACACCCAGGATAAAAATTGGACTAAACGAGGTACTAAACCAGGACTAGACCAAAACTAGACCTGGACCAAACCAGTACTAAACCGTAGACAAGGACTAGACTAGGCAAAGACTAAAGCAGGACTACACCAGGACTAGATAAGGACTAAACCAGATCTAGACCAAGACTAGACCAGGAGTAAACTGGGATTAAACTGGGACTAAACTAAGAGTAGACAAGGACTAGACTAGGACAAGACAAAGACTAAAGCAGGACTACACCAGGACTAGACCAGGATTAAACTAGCACTAAACCAGTTAATAAACCAGGTACTACACCCAGGATTAAAATTGAATTAGACCAGGACTAAACCAGGACTAAACTGTGGACTAAATGTACATTTGACATTACTCCATGTTAGAGGCGTACGATCCGACCCGCTCCCCTCCAGCTGCACCATACCTCTCCATTATGTCCACTCTGTCCTCTCCGTCCCCCGAGAGACACACTGAGGACAGGCGGCCCTCTACATCCATCTATAATGTATGAGACGAATGAGAGGTGACGACCGACCGACAGGGACGATCTGACCTTGCCCCGCGACTGAGGGACCGTGAGCGATTCTACCATTTACTGTACACCATAGAGTCTGCTCCACCTTCAAAGTCCATACGCTGTCAACACCAGTGAGACGGGACAGTGAGGAGATGGAGATGGAGATGGGGAGGGGGGTGTCTGAGGGCGAGGTCAAAAGTATATGCAACCAGGAAGACTGCGTTTCTTTGTTTGAGTACCGCGCTTGTCCTTGTTATCTTAGTGTACATCATCAGAGGTATAATACTCCCTACAACAGAACCGAAACCAGGTCTGACTGGAATAGAAGATAACATCATAATTAAGGTAGCACGACGATGTGCAATATAAAACGACGCAAAGTGTAGGAATTGAGAATCAAGGTACTCAAAGCTCTTTACATCAAGGAGCTGCTTCATACACCAGTGTACACAAACACCGGGGAGAGCGGATTAAGTGTCTTGCCCAAGGATACAATGACAGCATCTGTGGAAATCTGTGGAATCATACCCCAAACCTCAGGGTCAATGGATCTGACTGCTCTGCTAATGATGTTATGTCGAGAGCGAGCGAACTGGCGACCTTCAGAACACTGGACAAACTGTACCAACTGAGCCACTGTAACCCTTATCCTTCTGAAATAGTTTTCCGAGGAAGTTGCCTAGCGACACGCGTGACGCACCCCTTTTCCTGGGACGGAGCGACTCCGAAGTACACCGAGCAAGAATTCTGAGTCAGAATCCAAGACAGCTACGCCCACTGTGACGTGTAAATATGAAGTGTTTTCATTGTGTTTGGACACTTTGGCGGTTTAAATGACAATTTCAGTCACTCGTTACTGCAGTACCTTACCTCGTTCGTGTCACGGCCTATGGGTTTGGTAGTTGGTG